CTGAATGAAATGAAAAAATCTTATTTAATTAATTAATTTTAATGAAAATAGAGAAACGAGCTGCGGTGAAATCCACCAGCCGGAAAAGCCAGCAAACTGGCCAAAAAAGAAACCGTTAAGAAACCGTAAAGTCGGAAGTTAGGGTTAAGGTTGAACGTAGGGTGACATCACAACCATTCTGATCCTTCACGACGAACTCCTCTGGAAGCTATAACCTGAATGAACCTAGATGAATGGACAAATCTTATTTATTTAATTAATTTAAATGAAAATAGAAAAACGCAAAGAAGCCGACCGGTCGGCAAAGAAAAGAACCGCAAAGAAAGGTATCTATATAGGATTTATGCTCTATATAACTCTATATAACTCTATATAACTCTATATAACTCTATATAACTCTATATAACTCTATATAACTCTATATAACTCTATATAACTCTATATAACTCTATATAACTCTACATAACTCTACATAACTCTATATAACTCTACATAACTCTACATAACTCTATATAACTCTATATAACTCTATATAACTCTATATAACTCTATATAACTCTATATAACTCTATATAACTCTATATAACCATGCATACTACCACATTCAATCAATAAAAATCCCACTAAAACCAGGAACCACCGCGTACCTGCTGAATGTATGATGTGAAACAAAACAAAAAAAAACACAAAACAAAAATCACACCACCAAGTAGAGTAAAAGAATAGGAGTCCCTAACCTACCTATGTAACTAAATTACCTTATGCCCTAGCCTACCTATATAATAAATTAATTTTTACCTCACCTACCTATGCTTCATTAACTTAACTCAAGACTCATGAAGAAAGAAAAAAAGGAGTAAAACAGAACATAAAATACTACCACACAAACAAACATGATGTATGTATGTATGTATGAGCAACCGCTAAAGAACCCACATAAAATATAAAAAAATAAAACATACAAACACACAAGCCACAGACATGCAAACTCTATATAACTCTATATAACTCTATATAACTCTATATAAAATAAAATTAAATAAAAATAAATAAATTAAAAAAATATAAATATAAAAAAATGAGATCAGGCACTCCGACTCGAGCGAGGCAGAAATGCCTGATCTGATTTCAACGTTTTTTCAGCTCCTATTTATACTCGTTTCAACCATACATTTTCATCATTTCAATCATTCACATCAATAAAAAACTTATTTAATGTATGTACTACACTATTAGACAATATGCATAAATTCATTATAAAAAACAACAGTAGCCATTACTATATATGTACGCACGTAGTTCAAATTTTTCGGGGAGAATTCAAAATAGTTTAAGACCACACCTTACTTAACATCCGATTCCAAGCCGAGCCAAGCCAAGCTGAGCCAATATGCATAGATTTATAAGCGCTTTTATATTAAAATTTTGCTCGCTTTTTAAACGAATATCCCAATATAACAAATTCTCCATCCTATTTTAACTTCCTTTGATGCTTTTTAATCAGTCAGGTCACAAAAATCATTAGTGATATCGCAATGAAATCAATTTGAAATTTTTTTTTAATTATCGATAAAATTTTTAAATTGTTGATAAAAATAACTAGTATATATAGTGTAGTAAAACGTTTAAAATTTTCTGAGAGAATTTAAAATAATTTGAGACTACACCATAACACAACTGTACAATTTGAATGTGTAAATACAACATTATAAATGTATTATAACTACATGATTTCTTTATTTAGTTCTGCCTGTGTATATTTTGTCAAATTTATTTGATAGGAATTGAATATAACCTTTATACCGGCTGATTAACTACCATGCAGTAAAATAACTACTGTTGACACCATTTCCTCCAACGATTTCGCAACGAATTGCCCATACTATATAATTAGAATAAACTCTTTCAACCAATGTTTAAATTTTTATATTGTTATTTATTCTTTCGTTTTTGTTTCTGTACTAATTTTCATGTCAGATACAATAATTTAGTTTTTAAGTAAATTTTCATTTTCATAGCTATACACAAACATGCCTACCTGTTGCATTAAAAATTGCATTAATAATAAATAGAAAGGAGAAAATTTCTGATGCATCTTTTCACAGGTTTATTTTCAAATTAACTTCACACTAAAATAAATGTAACAATATCCCTATACTCATTGAATAGAACTATTTTGTTTTACAATTACATATATTTTATTTTATAGACTATTATAATTTATAATGCTATCATGGATTACCATTTTATTATTGAAAGCAATACTTAAGAAATGCACAAGTTTCTGTAACAGTTTATAAAATTTCAGATTTCCTCAAAATGTAAAAATGTAAAACGATTGGATTAAGTGCATCAGACAGGAAATAAATGATTTCAAATGGCTTCCATCAAAAAATGCAAGAATATGCAGTGACCATTTCTGTAATAAAGATTATAAGGGTTATGATGGAAAAAGGAAGATAATGCTAAAGAAAGCATTCCCATGTTTTCAAGTTAGTTATATTTATATGTCATCAGTTACACAAGGAAGCAATTCACATCATCATTGTACATTGCAACATTCTTATCTATACAAAAAATATAAAATGCATTCAACAATATTCCATGTATTTTATTAAAACTTAGAAAGGGCATAATGACATTGTGAATAATAAACCCTGCTTAGGACTGGGATCATCATCATCATCATACCAATCACCATTACAAGTAGAGTCAATTTTATATTAATGCTTAACAAGTTAACTAAATTGGCATAATAAAGTTTTTATATGAAATAAACATCAAGTATTTAATGTAATAAATAAATTAACAGAAAAATTTCTGGAAAAGTTTAAAAAAATTAGAACATATGACTCTGATCAAAAATCATTCGCGTTGACACTGCATTTGTATGGGCATAAGGCATATGATTATCTTTGGACAAATGGCTTACATCTTCCTCACACTAGGACATTAAGAAAGTGATCTTGTCATACCTGTTCAATAATTTTAATAAGATTGTTTTAAATAACTATTCTCAATGTCATTTTATTAACACTACATTAAAAGGTGGCTACAAAACATTGATGGTATGCCTGGGGTGATTTCTACAAACCTTATTGACTAATGGTGATGGGGATCCTCTGGAACTGTAGGGTCATGACATTCAATCTAGTCATGGATTGAGAAATCAATCCTTGATATATTTGATAACAAACATTTATTATAATATAAGAATGAAAAAAAGATGTAGGTGTAAGGCAAAATCTTACTGGAACTATTATTTTTAGCAATTTATGATTTATTTTTTTATTTATGACTTTATTCATTTTCAATGATACCGATATTTTTAATTATTATCCAAATTATACTCATACCTATATAAATTAACTTGATTGTGGTTATTTCTATGCTTAATTATTTTATTTACTTGCCATAGGTATGCACAGCCTTTAATAAATTAATGATAATAATTAATAACACAACATTATAAGTGCATAAAATATAATAAATTAAAAGAACAATTTTTACAAACCTCATTGGTTATGGTGATGGGGATTCTTTAAAACTGAACGATCATGATCTAACAAATCATGGATTGATGAATCACTGGAATCACACATTATCTTTAATAAATTTAATAACAACATATACTACAATTTAAGAATGAGGAATATTTTGTAAAGCATTAAATGAAAAAAAATTTAGTTTGAATCACTCATAATTAATAAATTTTAATTAAATTGCAAGTTAGCTTGGGGAGTTTGAAGCTTGAATTGAACAAATTACAAAATTGTTTATTTTATAAAATTGATTGGTAAGTTGTTTAATATATTAATTTATTTAATTTAGTATATTTTTTATTCCCAGACCTAAGCATTGTAAATAAAAATTTTAAAACCAATCAAGCAATAGAATTTAGGATCTTAGGAACAAGTGCTGTTAGTCGTTAGTGTAGTAGTAGTATGTAGTAGTGTAGTGGTTGGTAGTTTCTAGTAGTCTAATCTGTTAATGTTCGTTAGTGTTATCTGTTATTTATTTCAATTAGTAATTGGAATCAGTAGAGATTAGTTTTAGTTATTATTAGAGTTTAGTAATTTAATTACTAATTAGTCGTCGTTTACTAGTGTTGTTGTGTTGTTGGTGGTTCACAAAAAATTTTTTTTATTTAAAATGCAAAAAGATACTTAACCGTCATACAGCAATATCTATCCCAAAACAGCATCTAGTATCACCTTTTAAAACATTTTGAAATTTTAAATAAAAGCAATATTCCGAAATTAGTAAATATACGATCGCAACTTTTGACTTGGGCGATAAAAAATCACCCTCCAATTTTCCTCCGGAAGTAAGCTCCTTGTTCGACCGTCAAAAATGAGCAAAGACCGTTATATTTATTCTAATTATATGGTACAAAGCATAAAATTCAGGTTATATTTTGATTCAAAATCGTTTAAGAGTAGATTGCATTGTCAAGCGTTTTACATTTTATTTATTTTTTTTTAAATTCAATAACATTTTAAAAATAATTACTCAAAAAACAGTTTTCCTTTTTTTAGTATTTCGGCTGTTTACATTATACTGTCGCTAACCAACGAACATGCAGGCTGTATTTAGTTTATTAGTTGCACCGTGGGTGGAGCTTATAAGTCGCTTTAAACTGTTGACTATAAATAAATATTTCTGGAAAAACCACTTTGCCGTCTCCGAGATTACCAAAAAGTTACTTTTGAGCTAACTAAATAATGGAATGTAAATCGATCCAAGTCTCTATTAAAGAATTAAATCTACAAATAACAAATTTGAGGAAGGAATTAAAAAATATAAGAACAGCTCAGCACAAACTAACCAGTGAAATTAGGAAATCTACAGAAAAATCAGTTCAGGAGTTCAAAGTTACATCAGCAGGTTTCATTTTTTTGTAACATTCATTTATTATTTTGGCAACAAAATTAATTTATTTTAAATTATTTCTTGAACTTCAAGATGAAAGTTGTGTGAAAGATTGTGGTTTCAAAGTTATTGGGCACATTGAATCAATATTCAAAAGAAAAAATGCTACTCCAAGGCAAGGATCGATAACCAATTTTTCATCTTCAAAGTTAATCATCAGTAAATCTGCGTTCAACAATCCGGAACATTCCTTAGATGGATTGCATCTATTCTCTCATATTTGGTTTATTTAATAATTTAATTAACTTGATTTGATTTTGATTTGAAATGTACTTAATTACTAATTGAATTAGAGTTTTTTTTTTGTAATATTGTCATTCATTTTATTTAATTTACTTTTCAAAGTTTTCTGATTTGTTAAAATGTCATTCAGCATGTCAATAAATTTCAATGTGGTAACTAATTTTGGACTTATTTACAGGATCATATTCATTTTTCATAAAAATGGAAAAAGATTTTGTGGGGCAAAAGTTCATCCACCACGACTTGACGGAAAAAGTACGGGGGTATTTGCCAGCCGAAGTCCCCACCGACCCAACCCTATTGGGCTTACACTGGCCAAAATTTCCAAAATTGAAGGTGACAGCTTTCAATATTGATTTTCATTCCATGCTGAAATGATGATTTTAAAAAATTGTCATTGATTAAAAATAATAATATCAATAATTATTATTATTAATTATCATAATAAATAATCGTTTATTATTAAATTATAATAATAAAAATAGTAATAATTTTATATTTTTTTATGGACATGACACTTCAGGTGATACGATATACTTGATGAATACTGATCTCATAGAGGGAACTCCAGTCGTGGATATCAAACCATACATTCCTGAATACGACTACCCATCGCCATCTGTGACGTCGTCATCTGTGACGTCATCATCATCACTATCATCATTACCATCAACTTCAGCTGCAGAAGATATGCAAACAAAAAAATTATTTTTTTCAACAAATAGTAAGGCCACTAGCACTAATACAATTTCTACTGTTACTACAGTTACTACTCTTACCACTACTGCAGCGGTTACCGCTACGTCTTCTACTACTATAAGTACTACTTCCGGTACATTTTGTAGAAATAACCCGTGTATTAATAATAACGTTGATAATATTACGACGTACAACGACATGACTGATGAGAGCAAACACAACGACATTGCAGACATTAATTCAGCAACAACATCAACGATTACATTAACATCAACAATCCCACATAATAGCGTACAAATAGCGCCATGGATAGAGATGGCATCAGCAGAATGTCATATGGCTGTGGCATTTACACAGCGTTCTGAGAGGCAGTTGATGTCACTGAACAGGTTCAAAAAACCGAATCATAATAACATTAATAATAACAACAACAACAATAACGACAATAACACTGACGCTAATAACAAGAAAAACTTTAACAATACTGCTAGCCATAATGGCAATAGTAATAATAATTTCCTAGCTAGCATTGAATCTATAAAGCAGGCGATAATTGACGTTTTATCGTCTGACCCCAGATCATCTTACAGGAGGAATAGATGCAAAGATAAATTATATTATTTCACCATAGACAACGTACACGTCACGTGCTGGTTTGATGATGACATCACGAGCAATAATAGTAATAATAATAATAATAACGATGATGGTTATGAGAAGTGCGTTGAAGTTTTAAGAATAGTTGATGTTGTTTGATTGGTTGATATTGATTAATTGATCTATCGATTGATTGGTTGACTGATTGATTGATTGATCGATCTATCGATTGATTGGTTGACTGATTGATTGATTGGTTGATTATGAAACGGGAGTTCTAAATGTTTCATTTTATTAAAAATTTAGTCAGTAAAGAAATTATTTTTTTGTCATAATGGGTGAAATTACACTATCAAATTCATCAGCATCACCATCATTGTCTTTATTATTATCATCGTCGCCATCTTTTTGATCAACTTCATTTGTTATCCTGATTAATTCATACATTCATTCTTTCGTTCATTCATCATCACCACAATGATGATATCATTCCCATAGTCGTCGTCATTACCATCATCGTCATCATCATCACGATGTGCGTCTGCGTAAACCAAGGTAAATGTTACTCTCTGGTTGTAAAAAGGCTGTAAATTTTTTCATTTTCAGTGGCACCTGGGGCATAAGTATGTGTATGTATGTGTGTATGAATGTATGTTTGTATGTATGTATGTGTGTATGTATGTATGTGTGTATGTGTGTATGTATGTATGTATGTATGTGTGGGTGTGTGTGTGTGTGTTTATCTTTGTATGTATCTATGTGTAACAGTGAAACGCACCGTGGTTTCATCTATACGTAGCAGAACGAAATTCTTCAAGACATCAACCAAAGCCATTTTAATCACCATCTGTGCCATTCTCATACCTAGAATATGTGTGCGTGTGTGTGTTTGTGCGTATGGGTGTGTGCGTGTGTCTGCGTGCATGTATAGGTATACCTACATACATACCAATGCAGTTTCTGGCACCAATGCCAAAGGGTATATGGTATAGTGGATTTCTTTTTGAAGATTCTTCTGGACTGAATCTATCAATCAATCAATCAATCAAGGTATTTTTTTCTTCATTTATTTATTCATACATTCATTAGTTTTTCCTTGTACATTTTAGTAAGTATATACACTTGATTATTTTATCAAACTAACTTTAAATGTTTAACTTTTCTTTTCATTGTGACACTGTGGCCTGTAGAAATAGCCTACCTACTCTCCTTATTTGGTCTCCGAAGACTACTTCTTAATTGCTATCTCATTGCAATTGGTTTGGCTTTAAATAAATGAACAATATAAAATTAAATAAAAATCATCGTTTTTAAACCTTTCTGGATCAAAGATCTCCGGATCGGGATATATTTGAGGGTCGTTGTGAATGGCCCAAATCGGAACAACGATGCTCGTTCCTTTCTTCAATGCCGTGCCATCACTCATTTGTATGTTGCTTGTCAATCTCCTATCTATCCTGTATGCAATTAAGTACTCGTATACATACATACATACATACATGCATACATACATACATTTATACATACAAACAAACATACACGTGCACTTAGGTACCTAAATGCCGCCGGATAACACCTCATTGTTTCGTTGAGAAACATATCCATGTATGTTAAGTTGCTCAACTTTTCGTTCGATGCTGATTCCTATGTATGTATGTAATTCTGTACGTACGTACGTATGTATGTATGTATGTATGTACGTATGTATGTATGTATGTACGTATGTATGCATGTATGTATGAATGAGCATAACTTTTAAAAAATCTCAATAATTTTTTTAACTTGCTCTCCAATCGTATCTTCAATTTCTTTGTAAACTTTTTCTTGCACCTCTGGGTTTATGGCCAAGCTGTACAAAGCGAACGTTAAAGTTCTTGATGTCGTGTCGTAACCAGCCAGCACGAATATTAAGGTCTGCGCTAGGATCTCTTCGCGCGTCAAGCCTACGGAATAAATATGGTAAATATGCATGTTTACTTGTTTCTTCAGTCATTCATTCATTCATCGATTCATTCTTTTGTTCACTCATTAACTCATCTATTAGTTAATTAATTAATTCGTTCATTCATTCATTCATTAATTAATT